CGCCGTATTGTAGGCGAATGTGACGTAGGGCAGCACCTCGTCCCACGTCTTGTGCTCTACGTCGACGTACATAGAGATCATATCGGCGATTGTCTTGTTGAGTCGCTCGGTCAGTCCGTTGGTCTGTGGGTGGTATGCAGTGGTTCGACGATGGCCGGTGCCACTGAGACGAAGGATCTCTTGCGTCAGCTGGGCCATGAACGAAGATCCGCGATCTGTAATCAGAACCTCGGGAGCGCCGTGCCGGAGGACGATGGACTCGATGAAAAACTTGGCGACTTCCACAGCAGTCCCTGAAGGAAGAGCTTTCGTTTCGGCGTACCGCGTGAGATAATCTGTGGCGACGATGATCCAGCGGTTCCCCGACGTCGAAGGCGGAAAAGGACCAAGTAGATCCATTCCGATCTGCTGGAAGGGTGTAGTTGGAGGAGAAATGGGCTGCAGAAGTCCGGCCGGCCTCGTCGGCGGTTTCTTGCGTCGCTGGCACTCGTGGCATGATCGTGTGTATAGGTGGACGGTCTTGGGGAGCTTCGGCCAGTAATACTTTTCACGAATACGGGCCAGTGTCCGGCTGTAACCAAGGTGTCCGGATGTCGGGTCGTCGTGGCAGGCTTGGAAGATCTCCTCTCGAAGGTCACTCGGGATTACCAGCAACCAAGGTGTGTTGTTGTTGCCGAAGTTCTCTTTGTAGAGTACACCTTGTCGGATGGCGAAGGTCGGCAGTACTCGTGAGAAGACACGTGGCATGGTACTCCTGCCCCCTTCCAGGTGCTCGATTAATGCCCGCAGCTCAGGATCGTCCCGTTGACGTCGTGCCATATCGTCGGTGTTCACTGCTCCTAGAAAGCACTCGTCGTCATTGTCGTCGCTGCAGCCGGAAGGGGTTTCGACGGGGGCTCTGGACAGGCAGTCGGCGTCGCTGTGCTTGCGGCCTGACTTATAGACCACTGTCATGTTGAACTCTTGTAGTCGAAGACTCCATCGAGCGAGGCGTCCTGACGGGTCCTTCAGCTTCGCAAGCCAGCAGAGCGAGTGGTGGTCCGTGACTACACGGAACGGGCTGCCGTACAAGTACGGACGAAACTTCGTTATTGCCCAGACGACCGCAAGGCATTCTTTCTCAGTTGTGGAGTAATTTTTCTCCGCCTTGGACAATGTCCGACTTGCGTAGGCGATGACTCGCTCGATGCCTTCTTGCACTTGGACTAGTACTGCGCCCAGTCCCGCGTTACTTGCGTCCGTGTGAATTTCTGTTTCCGCATCCTGGTCGAAATGTCCAAGCACAGGAGGAGTTTGGAGTCGTCGTTTCAGTTCGTCGAATGCCTGCTGTTGCTCCTCGGCCCATTCGAACTTCTTGGCGTCCTTCGTGAGATTCGTAAGTGGTGCGGAAATCCTTGCGAAATCCCGAACGAAGCGTCGATAATAGGCACAAAGTCCAAGGAATCTTCGCACGGCCTTCTTATCTGTCGGCGCTGGAAATGCCGCGACGGCGCGAGTCTTCTCGGGGTCTGGGCGGACGCCTTCGTTACTAACCACGTGGCCAAGGAACTTCAGTTCGTCATAGGCGAACCGGCACTTTGACGGCTTGAGTGTGAGTCCGGCGGTCTGAATGGCTTGAAGAACAGCTCGGAGTCGTCTCAAGTGCTCGTCGAAGTCAGCTGAAAATACTACGACGTCGTCAAGGTAGACGAGACAACTCTGCCACTTCAGCCCTGCCAGTATGGTGTCCATGACACGCTGGAAAGTTGCTGGCGCTGTGCATAGTCCGAAGGGCATCACCTTGAACTCGTACAGTCCATCCGGCGTGACGAAGGCTGTCTTCTCTCGGTCCCGTTCGTCGACCTCGATTTGCCAGTAGCCGCTCTTCAGGTCCATCGATGAAAAGTATCGAGAGTGGCGCAGCCGGTCTAGAGTGTCGTCGATGCGGGGGAGTGGGTAGACGTCTTTCTTCGTAACCGTGTTGAGCTGCCGGTAGTCCACGCAGAACCGAAGAGTTCCGTCCTTCTTCTTAACCAGCACGACTGGAGAGGCCCATGGACTGCTTGAAGGTTGGATTATGTCGTCATTCAGCATCTCTTGAACTTGCTGATGGATCACCTCCCTTTCCTTAGCGGAGACTCTGTACGGCGATCGATGCACAGGGCGCGCGTCGTCCTCAGTAACGATGCGGTGCTTGGCAACCGCGGTCTGGCGCACCTTCGACGACGTCGCAAAGCAGTCGCGGTATTCGGCGAGGAGGTTAACCAGCTGACGCCGTTCAGGGTCCGGAAGCTTAGGGTCAATGTCGAGCTGCGCTGGCGACGTACTGTCTTGCTGGGGCGGCAAGGATTCGTCAGTGATCGCAGTGATTTCGGCGGGGTTTCGGAGTTTCTCGACGTGGCCCACGGCTGCACCTTTCGTGAGGTGTTGCGTTTCGTTTCGGAAGTTCGTCACGAGGGCCACAGTCCGCCCATCCTGAAGTTCAGCTACTCCCCTTGCGACGCCTATGCCTCTTCCCAGGAGCAATTGGAGGCTTCCCTCGAGAAGAACTTCGCCACAGGAAGCTTCATCGATCCCGACAAGTACGAAAACACTCGACCGCGGTGGCAGGTTTACGTGGTTTGCGAGGACTCGGACCGTGGGTGACGTCGCTTCGGGTTCCTCCGCTGGTGGAGCAGGTTTTCGTAGCGTCAGCGGGTTTGTTCCGAGGTCGATGACGGCGCCATACTCGCAGAGAAAGTCCATTCCGAGGATAACGTCCCTCGAACAGTCTTGCAGAACGACGAACTTGACGGGGCACGTTTCACCGTGGATCTCGACGCGAGCAGTGCATCTCCCGACTGGTGTGATGAGATGTCCTCCGGCGGTTCGTATTTGGGGTCCTTCCCACGGCGTCATGACTTTTCGAAGGCGGCGGGAGAGCCTCCCACTCAAGACTGAGTAGTCTGCCCCGGTGTCCACAAGTGCCGATGCGTCGTGGCCGTCGATTATAACGTTTAGGTTGTTCGACACCGATGCAGGGACGTCGTTGTGATCCGTAGCGCCGAGAGAGTGGGAGCGCTCCGTCGTTCTTGGAGGCTCTTTACTACGGTCGTCTTCGGCAACGCCACCTCCAGGCGTTGCCGCACTTAGTTTTCCCGGCGACGCAGGGGAGAGACGCTTTCTCGGCGGGGTCGTGACACTGGGGACGCTGAACGTCGTGGCGATGGGGAGCGGGCTCCACGGCGGAGAGACGACACTGGGGAGGGCGAGCGTCGGAGGTACTCCTCAATGTCGCGAGGGCGTTCGCCGTACCTCGGGCGTGGGTCGTTCGGGTGGAAACCGCGCAGCCCAAGTCGACGGTAGGGGCAGCTGCGGTAGATGTGGTCGGCTTCCCCGCAGTGGTAGCAGAGCGGGCGTCGATCAGCCGTCCTCCACACGTCGGTCTTTCGCGGCGCAGCTTGTTCTGGGTGGACGTGCGCCCGATCTTGTTGGCGTCGGGAATACTCCGGCGCTGGAGGCTCACGTCGGGGTGGCGCCGTATACTGGTGAGCTGGGGGCGATGGTCGTCGGGTAACTGCGGCGTAACTCAGCGTGGGCGGTTCGGGAGTGGCGCCGACGAGAACTTCTGGCTGCAGCGCCTGATGAATTTCGTCCCGGACAATCTCGGCGACTGAGGCCGTCGCCGGGCTTGTGGCAGCAGGTAGCAGCTTCCTGATTTCCTCCCGCACGACGTCCCGGATGATGTCGCGGATGTCCGGGATGCTGCAGCTGGACGTCGAGAGGGCAGCGAAGCCGGGAAGTCTCTGGTAGTGCGAGGCCCGTGCGTGAAGGGCACGTTCGATGTTGGTGGCTTCAGTGATGAAACCTTGGACAGTGGTAGGCGGGCTCCGCACGAGGCCCCCGAAGATGTTTTCTTTCACGCCCCGCATTAGGATCTTCAGCTTCTTTTCTTCTGGGGCGTCAGGATCCGCGCGGCTGCTCAGTCGAAGAACATCTTCGACAAAGCTAACGACGCTCTCATTAGGGCCCTGAACCCTCGCTTGAAGGAGGTCTTCGGCGCGTTCTCTTCGGTGTTGGTTGGTAAATGTTCTTCCCAACTCAGCCTTGCATTGCTCCCAGGTGGTGATTGATGCTTCATGGTTCTCGAACCAGTTCCGCGCGGTTGCTTCCAAGGCAAAGTAAACATTCTGGAGGCACTGTTCCGGTGTCCACCCATTATGGCGAGCCACTCGTTCGTACTGTTGCACCCAGTCGTCGATGTCTTCGTGGCTTTCGCCGTGGAAGGTGTAGAGGTCGCCACCTATTGACTTTGTAAATAGTCTGCCGCATTCCTGTGGCGCCCCCTCTCGCTGTACTTACTTGTTGTCGCTTGATTAAATTCATTCCTCTGTTGTGTTCTGAAACGTGTCGGTCGCATCCTGGCTCGCTACACCCTGTCCTCACGGTACGGGCCCTCAATCTATCAAACATGGTGTCAGAAGTGAACCGACCTCGACGCTAGCCTTCAGGACACTACAATCATGTCCAAGGAATCCAGCCCGCAGTGGGTCGGCGTCAATCTGCGGCAGCCGGACGCGTTCGACTTTTCGAACGTCGGGACTTGGCCGACGTGGCGAGACCGCTACGACGACTATGTCACCGTGTCTGGGCTCGGACAAGCGCCTCAAGACGTCCAGGTACGCTCCCTACTCTACTGTATGGGTCCAGAAGCTCGTCCGCTGCTCAACACGTTCTCGCTTGACGCGGCGTCCCTCGCCTCGTACACCGCAGTGGTTGCTCGCTTTACGGCGCACTTCGTGCATCCAGCCAACGAGCTCTACGAGTCTTCGCGTTTCCACAAACGCATCCAGCAACCTGACGAAAGCGTGGATGCCTATTACGCGGAGCTGTGTAAGCTCGTGAAGCGCTGCAACTACCCGTCAGCGGCGATAGAAGAGCGTCTAGTTCGTGACAGGTTTGTCGTCGGCCTGCGTGACACGCGTCTCTCGGAGCAGCTGTGTCGGAACGCTAAGTTAACTCTCACTGAAGCCTGGACCCAGGCACGTCAGTCCGAAGACGCCGATAAAGAGAAAGCGTCTGCGCGGCCAAGCAACGAGAGTTCCCGTGCAGTCCAAGTCGACGCTACGAAAAAAGATAAAGTTCCATTCCGTCGGCGCTCGGACGCCAAAGCAGCTCGTGCAAGCGGAGCCCAAGCCAGAGCAGGGCATCCCCGTGAGTCATCGGCCTGTTCGTTTTGCGGTCGCGCGCCTCACGCGCGTTCAGACTGCCCAGCACGGGACTCGCTCTGCAACTACTGCAGAAAGAAGGGACACTTCGCCGAAGTGTGCCGTGCAAAGAAAGTCAAGCAAGGCAAGCTCGGCTCTGTCCAGCTGCACGCTGTGGGAACATCCGCTAAAGCTAGGTACGTGGACGTCACCGTGAATAACTACACCGCGGAATTCAAGGTGGACTCTGGAGCGGAAGTGTCTGCCGTACCGAGTGACTTTCCCAACGTGCCGGCCAAGCTTGACAAGGTGGAAAGCCTGCTGACAGGACCCGGAGGTCAACCGCTGCGTGTTTTGGGGTCGTATCTGGCACGACTGCAGTGGCAAGGGAGGACAAGCTCTCAGCGGCTCTATGTGATCGACTCCCTTTCCGTACCTCTTCTGGGTCTTCCGGCGATTGAGGCTCTCAAGGTTGTACAATTCCTAGGTGCTGTGGATGCTCCCGAGACAACACTACATGCCGAATTGTTTCGCGGACTGGGCACACTCAAGGATGAGTACACCATTCGCCTGAAGCCAGACGCCGTGCCATTTTCACTCAGCGCACCTCGTCGGATTCCCATCCCGCTGCGAGAGGTCGTCAGGCACGAGTTAGACAAGTTGGAGAGCGACGGAGTGATTCGTCGCGTCGACAAACCAACCCCATGGTGCTCCGGACTCGTCGTCGTCCCGAAGCCTACCGGAGCGTATCGACTCTGCGTTGACCTGACACGGCTCAACGAAGTGGTACTCAGAGAGCGCCACATCCTGCCGACAGTCGAGCAGGTCCTTGGTCTCCTGGGCGACGCGGCCATCTTCTCGAAGTTGGACGCCACAGCAAGCTTCCATCAGGTCAGGCTGGCAGCCGGCTCGCAGGAGCTCACGACCTTCATCACTCCTTTCGGCCGTTATTGTTTCTGTAGACTCCCCTTCGGCATCACCTCGGCGCCGGAGTACTTTCAAAAACAAATGGCCAGAATCCTTGAAGGTCAAGAAGGCGTCGCCAATATGATCGACGATATTCTTGTTTTTGGACGTAACCAGGAGGAACACGACGCTCGGCTCAAGCAGGTGTTGTCGCGGCTAGCAGGAGCTGGCATCACGTTGAACAAAGACAAGTGCCGGTTTGGAGTCTCCGAGGTCTCCTTCCTGGGAGTTATTGTTTCGGCAGAAGGCATCAGGCCGGATCCCAGCAAAGTGGAAGCCATCCGGACCATGGATCCACCGAGTGACATCGCTGGCGTCAGACGCCTCCTTGGGATGGTAAACCACCTAGCAAGATTCCTGCCTCACATCTCTGACGTCACTGCCCCAATTCGAGTCCTCTTGAACAAAACTACAAGCTGGACTTGGCAGCATGAACAACAAGCAGCGTTTGCAAAAGTCAAGGAGCTGCTCACTTCAGACCGGTGCATGGCCAAGTACCACCCGGCGTATGCCACGACGGTTTCTGCAGACGCAAGCTCTTTTGGACTCGGTGCCGTCTTGCTGCAGACTCAGCCGTCGGGAGAACGTCGACCGGTCGCCTTCGCTTCGCGGTCAATGACAGACACCGAGCAACGATACAGTCAAACGGAAAAGGAGGCATTGGCGACGGCGTGGGCCATCCAGCGGTTCGACGAGTTCGTTCGTGGTATAAACTTCGACGTGGAGACGGACCACCAGCCCCTTGTTTCGCTGTTTGGAAAGATGGAGCTTGACATGCTACCTCCGCGGGTACAGAGACTTAGGCTCAAGACTATGCGCTATCAGTTCCAGATGCTCTATGTGCCTGGAAAGCTGCTGGCTACAGCAGACACCTTGTCGCGGATTCCTCCAAAGGCGCCGTGTCCTTTGGACACTGTGGAACTTTTTGCCACAGAGGTAGTTGACAGCACCTCTGAAGTACTGCCTGTCAGCTTGGAGGATGTGAGGAAAGCACAAGGCTCTGATGGCGAGTGCAGTGCACTGATCTCCTTTTGCCAGCGCGGGTGGCCGCAGAAGTCAAAGTTACCGCTACATCTCGGAAAGTATGCTGCCATGATGGATGAGCTATCTGTTTGCAACGGTGTTCTTCTTAAGGGTGCCTGCTTAGTCATCCCTTTTTCACTGAGGCTGCAAGTGCTGACGTTGCTGCACGAGGGACATCAGGGAATTAACCGTAGCAAAGCCCGGGCTCGAGAATCGGTATGGTGGCCAGGCATAACTGCGGAGATCACTTCCATGGTTACCAATTGTGAGCAGTGCGCCTCCACTCGTGTGAACTTGTCGGAGCCGCTGGTCTCCACCCCTCTCCCCGGTCGTCCGTGGGAAATGCTCGGCATGGACCTATTCCACCTCAACGGACAAACCTTCATCCTGGTGGTGGACTATTACTCCCGATTCCCGGAGGTTGTAACGCTAAGAAGCACGACAGCTCAGGCTGTCATCGACGTGATCAAGAGCATCTTCGCTCGCCATGGAATTCCTCAGCGCGTAAGGTCTGACAACGGTCCACCATTTTCTTCGAGAGAGTTCACACATTTCGCTAAATCTTACGGGTTTGACCACATGACCAGCAGCCCTCACTTCGCCCAGTCTAATGGAGAAGCTGAGAGAATGATCCGGACGGTAAAAGACCTCTTTCGGAAGGCAGATGACCCCCATCTCGCCCTCCTCAGCTACCGAGACACCCCGGGAGTGAGCGGTTTCAGCCCAGCCCAGCTTTTGATGGGGAGGCAGCTGAAGACCCGAGTTCCTAAGCGCGACGAGCAGCTCCGTCCAAACTGGCCAGTGAAAGACAAGGTAGCCAGCAATGATTTAGTCTACAAAAGACAACAGGCTGCAGACTACAACCGGCGTCACGCGGCCAGGGACCTGCCGTCACTTCGAACCGGAGAGCAAGTCTGGGTGAGACCTGATCAAGTGCGCGCTACAGTGTTGAGTCCTGCTCAACGACCACGAAGTTATATCGTGGAAACAGAACGGGGTGGTGTTCTTCAGCGAAACCGCCGCCATCTCGCGCCTTTCGGTGGAGAGGCACAACTACAAGATCAGCCCGAATCAGCGCAACACGTCTTGGTTCCTGAACAACCACGACCCGCAAGCCCGACAGGGCCGCCCCCTGCCACTGAGCCGGTCCCGGTCCCAACCAACAGCGACGGTGTTGTGCGAACTCGTAGTGGCCGACGTGTTGTTCGGCCGACTCGTTTAAATTTGTGAAGTTTGATGTAGTAGGCTTCCTCCATCTTTCATCTTTCATAAAGGGGGGAGATGTAGAGGTCGCCACCTATTGACTTTGTAAATAGTCTGCCGCATTCCTGTGGCGCCCCCTCTCGCTGTACTTACTTGTTGTCGCTTGATTAAATTCATTCCTCTGTTGTGTTCTGAAACGTGTCGGTCGCATCCTGGCTCGCTACACCCTGTCCTCACGGTACGGGCCCTCAATCTATCAAACAGAAGGGAGCCGGTGTCCGAGGAGCGACGGGTAGGTAGACGACGGCAGGAGCGGCGGGGCTCTGCGACTGGTTGGCCATCGTCGGCTTCGTTGGCTGCTTGGTCCTGGGCGGCAGAAGTCCGAATTCCGGGTGTAGGCCTTGGGTGCGACGACTGAACCGGATCTCGGTAGTGCCTTCGTTGGTTCTTCGTGGGCTTGGCGTCGGACTTGCACTGCGGTCCCTTGGAGGGGTACGCGGCAGGGGCATGCGTTACCCCGCACCTCCACCAAAATGTCACGGGTGGTGACCAAACAAAAACAGGAAATAAACAGAAAGAAATAAACGTTTAATGTGGCGAACTTGTGCCAAAAAAAATAAAGAAGGAAACAGAAGAAAGCAGAGCGTCGCGGGCGTCGAAGTCGGCGTGTCAGCAGAATCGAGCGCTAGGGCGAGACTGACTCGACAAGGTCGCGGGCGGCCTCTTATCTAGAGTGCGCCGCTATCTCGAAGATTCGGCGAAGGCGGTTCGAGCGTCGCGTGATCGGGGCGAGAATGAACACGCACTTTCTAGAAAACAAAAGCAGGGATAAATGATAGAAGTTACGTGCGGTACATGAATAAACGGGAACTTTCTGGAGGACCGTGACCGAGCGTTGCTTTCTCAGCCTTGCGAGCGGCAATATTTCATTCTTGGAAGTAAAACTGAGCATCGACTGGAACCATGTAAGCAATTGGGCAATCTTAAGTATATATCACAGATATCTTGTTGAACACTCTGGTCTTATTTGAGCACAATAGTTAAATTTCGAAAGGAAAAAAAATATATTCTCTGGCTAGCATACCAACCTATAAACACTGGACCACTTTGAAAGAATTATCACAGATGTTGCGCCAAACATTCTTATTTGAGCACAGCAATAGCAAGTTCTCGAAAGATAAAAAAATTGTTTCTGACTAAAGCAGCCGTCACTCGCGCGCTCCCCGTTGGTTCCGCCGACCCCTCCGCTGCCCCCGGCACACCCGGCTCCTCGTGGTTCGACATTTTGGTTTGAAGAAGGCGCGTAGCGCACATCCCGCATAATATTGGAACAACTTTCTCTCCAATTAATTCTTAAATGTATTGCAAAAGGGTACAAAAAAGCGGTTTGTTTTAACAACGCCCAAAACGTTTTGATTGTTTTTCAATACTTTTACCTGTACTAGAACAGATGCGACGGCCAGCGACGCACAGGATTGGTTGCCGTTCCTTCGCTAAACGCAGGAACTGCTCCCCGCGTCGTAGTAAATCCTACCCCGTATCCCGCGCGTAGGGACGCCTCAGGGAATGCGTAGCTACTTCCGCTCGTCGGTGGTTGGCTCCGGACGTCGCTGAAACGGGTGACGGGTGTCAAGTTTGCGATGACGTAGCGGCGTCAAAGTGGGCAGAGCCGCCACGTGAGTGTTGCTTGGATACGCTCCTCCTTTGCATTACGTCACTTCCATGTACCTTTTCTCAAATGTCCAACCTAGCGATCCTGGGGTGCTATTCTGGTCGCAAACGGGTACCTTTCGAGTTGTGACGTATCGAGAAAGAAGGGGCGGAGCCTCAAACTAGAATGGTTCTTGTTTGAGGCTCCACTCCAACGTTCGGGTTCACGCACGCGGTCAGCCAGAATCTGACGATGCCCTACGTCGCGGTGACGTGTCCACCCAGTTGGGGCGAAGAAATCCCTGCATTTCTCTCTGTTCTTTTTGTTATCTTCTTCCTTTCCTCCGGGACTTAGAACGAGCGAATAACGGAGAAAAAGCTACCTTCCGGAAAATGGAAGGAAACAGAGAAAAATAATATTATCCTTGTATAAAATACGAAAGATTATTTCAATAATTATGACGTAAAGTAAATTTAGCTAAGATATCTTAGCTTTTTTTCTCGAAGTCTTTCGCTACGGTCTTTGAAAACAAAATGGCGAAAACCGCGGTAACGACCTTGTGGTGTTTGTGTCTCGTTTGCGTCGTTGCTTTCCCTGCTTCTGCACGATACATATGGCATTTCGAGAAAGAAAATATTACGTGAAGGTGCGCTGCGAAACCGATCATCCTTTGTGAAGCCGCTGTGAACATAAGCTGCAAATTAAATTTCCTGTTTGCCTGTGAAGGAGACTTCAAATGGATGCAGAGCTGACGACGACTCTGTGGTAGTATATGACAAGTCATGAGATCAACGCAGAGTGCAACGGTTTTGAGCATTCTGTGGATGATGCAGGAAAGTTTCTTCGGGCAGTTTTAATAATGCTTTGTTCCTTTGCTCACTGCAGTGATTATGCCGGTATAGTCTCCATAAGCCATGCTCTTTTCTTTCGGCGCTGAAGAAATGCACGCGACTGCATAATCTCGGGCAGTCTTTTTTATTTATTTTTATTTGCAGAATAGCTCGTGCAGAAAAAAAAAAGGCTTTTACGTTTTTAGACGTCCCCACATAGGTACCTCGCTTTCCCATTGGCTGCATTGCGCGTGACGATTCAACGCCATTTGCCATGGAAACGTTCGTGAAACTAGAAAGCCTCTGTTTGCCGCTAACAGTCATTTTTCGAGTTCGGGTTGTGACGACAAAATGACGTAAGAACAAGAATGCACGGGACTATCTGCATTGTTTTAACTCGACAACCGTACCCTTGGCGAGTTAAACTCGAAAGAACATGGCCGCGATGCTCGTTGGATCGACCGCGGCTGGGGTTTGACATGCGATCGGTCACTTGATCAACGCGCACACGAATACTTTGGTTGCTGTTGGATGAGCCTATTCGGCGGCAGGACCGGGTCGAAGAGCACAGTGAGCTGGCGTTTAACGTCTCCGATGTAACGCTTGGCGAGATGCAAGACTTGGCTTCTATTTGTGCCGGTGTTATGAAGCTTGAAAGTGGTGGTGTTGTTGTGGCTCGTACGGTAGCGTTGCTGAGATTATGGAGACGGTAATAGACCTTTATTCAGCGTTGCCGTGCATTAAGATTCAAAACCTCACCTTGACACAAAGGAAACCACGTTTCCGCGAGCACGGAGGCAGCAGCCAACGGTCTGAGAAAGAATTGTGCCGCCGCCACGACCGCCAGCGATCGCCTCAACGGCAAGAAAACAAACGACAAGCTCATTGAGGTTTCTATAGTGCCGACTACTGATTCATCGGACGACAAAGGTGAATGATGTAAAACGCAACGTAAGTTTGCCAGCGTTTTGCAAAACGAATTCGTTTCGTTGAAAATTTAATTTGTGGAATTCGTCAACGCCTTGAAAGTTTGACGGGGACCGCATTGTGAACGCAGGCTTCACACAAGTGATTTCTACAGTGTGTGCTTTGGCTGCATGCATATGAAGACAAAAACACTGACTGTATGGTGCATAAAATAAAAGAAATTTCGCGTATCTTGATAATGTTGACTATCTATTGAGTGCTGTTGATAGTAGTGGCGTAGCCAGGAACTTCTAAGGGGGTGAGGATGGAGGGGGGTTGATGTGGCTGGGATCTTGATGACTTGGGGTGCGGGGGGGATGGTGTCGGAATTTGTGTGTATATTCTAGGGCCCGCCGGATTTGGGGAGGGAAGGAGCGAAGCCCCATAAGCCCCCCCCCCCCCCTCGCCCCCCCCCCCCCCTGGCTTGGCCACATAAGTTGAGCATCCTACATTCACAGGCTGCTATAAGCATGTGCATAGCCACTGAGCTCGTACCACAATGGCAAGATAGTTGCTGACATTCTTCACGTTACGTAGCAGTTCTTTCTTTAGTACATATGCTCGCTTTTACTTCACACATCTACTCTGCCTCCGCTTGTCGTTTATGCTGGATGGTTATAAGCCAACAGTGCGTATTTGCTCTGCATCACAGGCAAATTTCAAAAATCCAGCTCACACTACTCTTTAATTTCAATGAGTTACTGTCACTTTTGAAACGACAATCTATTTAATTGCTATAATAACCTTTACATTAAACACACGTGTGTTGAATGTAGGACAATTCTATTTTTATTGTTTTTCTTGGTCACGAAGATGACAACCATGCATCCACAAGACACTGGCTAAATTTCTCGTCTACAGTGGGTAACAATGTTACCATACTCTGTCAGACTAAACTCCTGCTGCCTAAACAAGTAACGATTCATTTTAGGACACACCTGTTCGTAGTTCATTGAAAGGCATCGAAAAGTGTTCTTATGACTGTCCGATGACTGACATGCAATTCCAGAAGCTTGGCGTGAAAAGGTAAAATATCTAGTTGATACAATAAAATGCCATCAGCAACCCATCCAGATTTTATTGCGTGATTGACAGTAGCTACAAACCGCAACAAATGGTCAACCGAGGACATAGGTACTAAGCGTGCACTAACTTCAAAGCGGTAGAAACCCTGAAGTTTTAACGTCAACTTACCACCATGTTGTTAATGGCAAAGTGGTGTTTGCGAATTTGCGGCAAAGTGTTGGAGTCCTTCAGAATGGTGACGGTCTCCTTCAGACCAATGACCACGGTGACGAAGGTTCAGTTAGAGTCTAAGTTCAGTCAACGCACTCCACGACGTCGGTGTGCTTGTCGTGGTGGGGACGAAAGCCTTCTTTCGCACATGCCTCAGCTTCCTCGGTCCGGGGTTTTGTCGACC